CGGTGGATGTGCGGTGGACTTGGCGGGCGGGTGGCGGTGGATGGGGCGCTTTGGGCAGGAGGAGGAGCAGGAGCGGTGCCCCCAGTTCCAGCAGGCCGAGCATCGAACTGGATCTCGGCAGTCCTTTGCACGATGGCCGGAAGTAAGACACCGAAGGCAGCGGCCCCAGAAACGCTTCAAATAGGCCGCGCGGCGTCGCTCTTCCATTACACGCTCTGCCTCGGAGCGCAGCGGTGAGTAACGCCCGCCGGACGAAGACGGTACGGGCGGTGCACGCCGCCGCTTTCTCGATTGGACGAGTTGCCATACCGGGAAAGGGGCAGGCGCAGGCACAGGAGGGGGCGGAGGAGGGAGCACAGATCTGCCCGTTGGGGTTGGCGAGGCTTCTCTGGTGGCGATGAATGTGGATGAGGGAGGGATGCAGATGATAAACCGCAGTAGACCGGCATAGGCCGGCGCAGGCAGTGAATGCGCATCTGGCGAGCCAGTGGCGGATCTAGGAGATACAGATCCGCTCGGGCCAGATGCAGAGCAATGAATGGCCCTGAGCCGAGCCGCAGCACTGCGGGGCGAGCCCGGAGATGGCCAGGCGCATTGATGCGGGGAGGGGGAGGGAGTTATGGTGGGTGACACGGCCGGAGCGAACCGCGGCGTGGTGGCCGACGGGGCTGGAGTAGCACCCGTCGCAGGGTTGGGAGAGGGAAGAAGAGGCAGAGGCGGAGCCATCCCAGGCGCGCAAGTCAGTTCCCATGTTTCAGTTGGAAGACTTGTTTGTTGTGAAAATTAGAGGTACTCGTAATAAAAAAAAGTAGACATGATGATGTGGTATGCATAGTTGAAAAATATTGTTAGTGGATGCTGACATGGCACATTTGGTAAGGTGGAAGGCCTCCATGTTAAGAGAATTAGAGGTAGTGGGGATCAACTATTTAAGTATATCGTATACACGCTGTTATACCACAGTAAATATTTTTCTAAACTGTGCTTACTTTTTTGCATTGTATAAACATTTTTGAAAAAGATGCACAAACATTTTTTGGACACATGATTATTTATTTAATATGCCATGTACATTTTTTAAATTCAAATAAGCATGCACGGTACTGGATTTGATCTTCACAATATTGGGAAGAAACTCCCTTTCTTAATGACAAGTTCTTCCTTCAACATTCATCTTCTCTACTTTCTCTTTTGAATTTTCTTTTCTTCTTTTTCAATGTCTTGATAATACATCGCACTTGGTGGTGGTTGTTGGAATGGAAGCTTAACTTCACACTTTGCTGGTCTAAAGACCAATTTAATCATAGGTCATAACTCTAATTGGTAGTTGGTTTTGGCAGAACTTTAAGCTACCAAAATGCTTCAAACTTGCTATCTCATCGCATCCCACATGAGAAGGATATCCTAGCAATTACATGCCATTTTTATTTTATTTTTTTCAAACAGAGGCAAAATATTTTCCTCGTCGATTAATTAAGCAGAAGATAATTGCCTATTTAATTAACAGAAAACCGAGCGAAAACCATTGCAACATGACCACATGCGGAGAACTCCCAAAGCATGAACCTCCGCGACTACCCGAGAAGGCGAAAAAACGCCTCCAACCCGCTACAACCACAACCCTCGACCCATGGATTACCACAGGGCAAAGAACCCCATCAAAAACACGTCGACAAAGGCATCCAATATGACAACCCGAAAAGAAGAGAACCATCCATCAAGCTCCCGCAAGTGCCTTGTGGCGTCATTTTTCTTTCTATAGCTCCCAAATGATTTCTCCTTCTGGAAGTCGAAATGATGGCTAGTGCACACCCTCTTGCTCTTGTCCCTGATTGCCTTCTCCTCCAAGAGGCAACCAATTGTATTTCCAGATACAAGGCTAGCAACCTCTAATCTAACCATCAATTCCCAAAACTTTTTAGCAAAGAGAGCCTCAGAAACAAGAGCCAAGGCACCAGATGACACAACCTTGTCAACCACAGGATCCACCTAGCCAATGTGCTCAGGCGACTGGAAGACATCAGCGCCCAAACCTCCACGCTCCATGAAGATGGTGGTGGTGAACCACAGTCGAGGTCACAAGTGAGTCCACATGCACCATTTTTGACACAAAAGGCAAATTCATGTATAATTTCTACAACAACAGATCAACCGAAAAATGTCAACATTAAATATTTGAAATTTGGTCAACGGGTCAGGAGGCTGGCCACTTTTTTTGGCAAATTTTTCATTTTTTTCTTCTTAAATGGCATCTGTACTTTTCTTTTCTTTTCTACATTTTGCAACTGTACTTTTTTTCTGCTGTGATACACCACCCATCAAAGTTCAGAATGTTTCAAGTGATTAGTCAAGGCGAATGGAGCCTAACTCAGATGGTTAAGTTTGTTGTGGTGGAACCAACCCACCAAGATCTAAGACCTAGACTTGGCACTGCTGATCGCATTTTTCTGAAATTATCCTAGGCTTTCCGACAATGTTCTTTCAGTTGAAGGAGACGTTCCGTCGACTACGAGGGTCTGTGATAACTTCGTCGATCTTAAGATGATGTGTCCGCTCAGTATTTCAAAAATGCTATAAAAGTAGGTTTATAAAAGTGAGTGTATTCTCGTGTATGTGAGCATATGTACTGTATTAAGAAAAAGTATTTAGTAAGTCTTGACCGCAAAGATTTACACTCTTCTCTTTTTTCAGAGAAGATTTACACTCTTCTCTGATACTTCAATTCAAACGTGAATGCCTGCATTTTTATTCCAGCTCCTGCATGTCGACGGTAAGGCAACGATTGACGTTGCAGAAGATGTTATCCAGTAGACTGGGCTCTAGTGCGCGGCAAAGGTAACCGAGATTGGGATCCTCACGGTGTGCTTGACAGACACCCACCGGACGGCGCCCTGCACCGCCGTGGCGCTGCTGTTCTTGGCCTCCACATCTATATCGAATTTCTGCACCTTGTTCGCCTCGGTGAACAAGAGCTTGTCTGGAAAAACTGTGACGATCACAGGGCTGTCCGCCGGCATGTCGACCTCCGGGTAGTACAGCGCCGGCACGTCTCCGACATTCGACACCGTGCGCTCCACCGATATTGGAGGATTCGAGCTCCAAGTTGGCGGGAACAACACCGAGACCGACGGGTAGTTCAGCTGGTAGTCTGGGATCGCCATGTCGGCCGAGCAATTCACAGCGCGTCGCGCGATCACCGAGACCTCTTCGCTCTTGTACATGCCGCAGAGGTAGCCGATGTAGTCGTACAGGGAAATGTCAAATATCAGGCCGGGGTCCATGGCCTTCTCCGGATTGACATGGCCGGCTCCGACGGCGAACAGGCTGGCAGCCTTGTGCTGCTCGTTGAGTATCGGCGTGCCGGAGCGGTCGGTGACGTCGGCAGTCGTCATGATGGCGGACTTGATCGCCGCCGGCGACCAGTCTGGGTGCTTGCTCTTGATCAGCGCGGCGACACCAGCAAGGTGTGGCGTCGACATGGACGTGCCGGAGAGGATGTTGAAGGTCGGCCTGAGGTCAATCGACGGCGGGCCCACTTGGAACGGCCACGCCGCGATCACGTTCACGCCGGGGCCCGTGATGTCGGGCTTCAGAATGCCGGGGCTGTGGACGTTGGGGCCACGGGAGGAGAAGTAGGTGATGACCGGCGCCGGCGATGTGCCGAGGACCGTGCCGAGGAAGGTGATATTTGCCGTCGGGTTCGTCGTGGAATTGATGTAGTTCTTGATCTCCACTCCAGCAGCATAGCTGACTTGCGAGGCCGGCAGGACGTGCGCGTCCGGGAACGTGATGTAGCCCTCCAAAAGCTGGTTGCCCACAATAATGCCTGCGCCTCCGGCTCTCAGCACCTCGGCCCCCATGTCCACCGGCGAGTAGCGGCCGCTGTCGCAGAGCACTATCTTGTCCTTAACGTCAAAGCCGTCCAGCGAGCCGTTGCCGCAGAACTGGGCCAAGTGCGTCGAGCTCGCACCGGCGTAGACCAACGAGGCCTCCATTGAGTTGTCGGGCTGGAAGAGCGACTCGCCGTCGAAGGAGAGGTTGTCTCCAAGGGTAACCTTAGCGCTGATCAAACGGTCCATGGTGCTCGCGGCGACGGTGAGCATCCATGGCGCCTCATTCAATATGGAGGAGCTGATCGGGCCGGAGTTGCCAGCCGCCATGCTGACGAAAATCCCCTTCTCCGCTGCGGCGAACGTGCCGATGGCGACGCTGTCGTTGTAGAAAGGCCGCGGCGGAAAGCCGAGCGAAATGGATATAACGTCGCAGCCGTCGGACACGGCGGCGTCGATGCCAGCGAGTACATCTATGCCGGCGCAGTTGCCGTTCTCGTCGCAAACCTTGTACATGGCGAGGTGTGCGCGGGGCGCGATGCCGGACGCGGTGCCGTTTGCCTGCCCGAACACTTGAGCCCCCGGCACGGCTGATCCTGCGGCGGTGCTGGACGTGTGCGTGCCGTGCCCATGCCCGTCGATCGGCGGCACGGGGGCGGCGCCGGGAGCGCTGCCGTTGCCGCTGCTGATGAAGGTCCGAGCACCGATCAGCTTGTGCCCGTTGCACGCGGAGCCGTTGAAGTCGCACCTCCCCTTCCACTTGGCCGGCGGCGGCATCATGCCGAAGCCGCTGAAGGAGGGGTGGTCGGGGAAGACACCGGTGTCGAGCACCCCGATGATGACGCCTTCGCCGGACCCGACGGACAAGTTCCTCACACCCAGCGCCGTGTCCAGCCCGAGGAACTGCGGCGTGTGCGTCGTCTGCACATGGTAGATCACGTCCGGGATCGCGGCGACAAACCCGGGCATGGCGGAGACAGCTTCGAGCTCCCTCCGCGTCAGCCTCGCCGAGAAGCCGCTCGCGACGTGGTGGTAGGAGTGGAGGAGACGGCCATGCTCAGGGAGGAAGGACTGGTGCCACGCCTTCCGGTCGTCATCGGTCGTGCCTAACTGGCGGTCCTCCTGGGGCTGCACATGGATGACGTACGTCCCGATGTCGTCCCCGGCGTTGACAATGGCGAGGAAGAGGAAGGTGAGAAGGGAGAAAAGCAAGGAGAGCTTGAAGCTTCCCATGGCTGATCACTTGCTCTGGTACGTAGTACGTACGTGTGCGTGCATGGCTTTTTATCAACGCTAGCTGGCCCCGTTTCTTGTTCTAGCTGTACGTAGGCATCGGTGTGGTCGAGGGAAAAGTGGCGATAGCTTGGGAATTGACGTTCCGCGGCATGCAAAGACAAACTGGCGAAGAGTGCCAGCAAGAGTGTCATGTAGGTTGGACAGGGATTTTTTTTTTCCTTTTTTAAGACAACCATGCGAAGTATTGTTGAACCGTCATCTCTACTATTAAAGCAAACGTCGTGATGGTTCGACCTGCTATTTCCCACATACGATCGGCACTCTCCCTTTCACGCACGCGTAAGAAAAGCAGCCCACCCCGCATGGATCAGTACAACGTGGCCCCATCCACGACCGAGAGAAAACTGTCGCTACACACGCACACACACGTCTCCGTTTCTCCTCTCTCCCCAACTCGCTCCCGATCCCATCTCTCTCCATGAAAAGTTGCCGCCGCCGCCGGCTGTGCTCGTCGCCCCGCCTCCTCTCCATCCGCTGCCGCGCGCGGATCTAAGTGAGGCGTGTCTCTCGTCCCTTGCGCCCGCCGTGGAAGAGAAGGAGAGAGAAAGAGAGAGGTGGGAGAGAGAGGGAGGAGAAGACAGCGGCGGCGCTGGCCTAATCGCCGACAATGGAAGATGAGGTCGTGGTTCCGACGCGTCGCGGGTCGGCGCTGCTGAGGCACGGCCGTCGACTTCCTTATTTGCTTCTGGCCACGGGCGCACCTTCTCCTCATGTCACCTAAGACGGTCTGCAGTCCATCAGGGTCATCATAACTCCGAACACCGCCGTCGTCGTCCGACGTACAGTTCAGGGCGGCCACCAGAAAGGGCATGATATGCCGCCGTTATGCAGAAGCTCTCGGTTATGGTGAGATAGAAACTCCAGAATACTTACACTTATTATATACCGTGTTTCCTTTTTCTTCCAGGCTTCAAATTCATCGGTTGATATGATTTTTTTAGGTTAGGATAAATGGCGATGATTTCAGATAATCTGGTCTAAGAGCTTGTTGACACGAAAAAATAATCCTAATCAAGCAGTTTGGGAACAGCAATGCCAAGATTAAGTTCAGCTAGGAAGTCGAACGCCATTTTACAGTGTCTACTCTAGAAGTACTCTGCTAATCTGCTTGGTAGTTGTTTGCCCTCTCTTGATCGAGATGAATTATGGATGTCTCTTCTGCCACTGATAGATTGGTTTGGTGGTTGGTCTGATTTTTCAGGCCTGGTAAACAAGAAGGTTGCTAGCTGCTTATAAAGACAAGCCCGTGAGGAGAACTGGATATATATGTAATGTTAACTCATGTTCAACTGTTTTGCCATTTCCCTTGAAACTATGCAACTGCGACTGCTCCAGTCTTTGTTGATCTTAATGTAAGACCAGGAGATGAAGTGTATTGCTTATCAAATTCTGTTGTTTTCTTGTCAGATGAAAGAATTTAATTTTAGGATGAAAATTTAGCATTTAACAAATCAAGCGGTCAAGCCACTAAATCATGATCCTTTAATGTTATAGTAACAGCTATGAAAAGATGAGATACTTTTGGTTGCATGCTTAAAGAGAACTACTTGGTACCACTCAAACTGGACACCAAAGCAATTTTGATTGGATAATAATTTATGCACCACAACATAAGTGGATAAACTCCTCTCACATGTTTGCTATTTCCTGCAAACTTTTCCTTTTATTTGTGCAGGAACTTCTCAGTATATACTTCCTTTCCATTTGCAATCTGTGGACCATCAGTCTGTGTAGTACAGTCAATGGCTCTATATTTTTGAACTTATAAACTACCTTAGAAGCGACGATGAAAACTTAACATCAGTGCAATTTTCTATATATTGTATTCTGACTACTCTACTCAATCGCTAACCCAACAAGGTTAAAAGCTTGCCTTGCCTTTTGCCTTTTTTTTCTTGTGCTGGTAAGAACAAATGCCGGCTGTTATCCTCTTGTCATGGCCCTGTTAAGTACAGTTATCTCTGTATAAAAAGTCACATATAGACTGTGTTTCATAATAGCATTGTAGGCAAAGTGTTGGAACATGCAGTGATCAATAGGAATACTAGATGGTCTAAGGTGGTAACCTCATATTCATGTGTTGTTTCATATGCTGTAGTTTTCTGCTTCACATGAAATTTTCACATGGAAAAGGGGCTAAGTTTGGTGGGCTTTGTATTTCTCATCACTTTGTGTTTAACATTTTGCAGTCCTTAATTGCCATCGTTAAGGTCAATTAGTGCTAGCACTTAATGCTCTCTGTTCAATTCTGGGGTGGCAGACCAAGCATTACAGAGCTTGGCATTTTAAGAATCTCAGGTAATATGATTCTTCTATGTAGCGACACATCAGCTTTTAGCAATCTTCAAAGTGAATGATAATTTATTGTTGTATTTCCAGGAACGGAAATTGCAATTGCAAATGATTTTTTTGACTAAAAATTTAAACTTGTTTGCAAGTAAATATTAATTTTAGTTTACAAGTAAACAAGCAAAACTTTTTTTTAGAAATAAACCTTTTCTCCTTATTTTTTTACATTGTCTCTATTGGTGCAGATAGGAAATTTAGTAACTTGAAAAGGTTGGCCGCCGAGAATTTCATTTATGCACACAACCATCCATGGATTAGATAGGATGTATGATGCAGTGGCTACGTCGACCACCCTGAGCTCGCCGATGAACCCGGCCGGGCACATGATGCCATTAACGGCAAGAATGACAATGTACCTTCGTGCAACATTGCATCGATGTTGTACATACACTCCAAAATTAACAAAATAATTTGACCATCCGTGCATTTTCAATTTCTAAATCTCTGGTTGCTGATGATGTGCAGGATGGTTGAAAGAACAAAAATGCTTTAGTGTTGAGTACTACTCAAATTTGGGTAAACAGCATAGACATGCACACCCATTGAATGGAACAGAGAAAACATACAGAAGATTATGGTTGAATATCGAGTTATATTACTGTGAGAAAGTGAAGATTTGACTATTTTCTATCAGTTATGGGTTAGCGAGGAGCCGAGGATGAGTTGAGGCGTAAATCCGGATGATTTTAAGTCGTATCCAAGTGGGTCAAGTCACCAGACTTTAGCGTGTCAACTATTATACTAACCCTCTGCATGTTTATGATGATCGAAGACACTTACTTTTGATGTAGTCATGAAGTGTCAGACGTTGCAGGATGAAGTCTTTTTCTATCTAATAGAGTTAATGTACCTCCCATATGCTGTTAAGAGGACAAATGTAAGTAATTTCAGCGCTCCTTTCTGGATGAAATGTTTACGCAATCAATCCTAACCATGCTAGCAATGTTTCAAACTATATATAAGATACGGTTGCTACTGTATGTATAATTTAACATGCAGTTAAATCTGTGTAGACAGACTTCCTAGATTTTTCTGGTGAAGATTTGACAGGAATGCACTAGATTTGTGTGGTGGCATGTAGTCAAAACAGTGGGAAAGACTTTGCAGGAGATAGAAGTTTCACTCTTACGAACACAATGAAAGGTACCCTCTACTCTTTCCTTTGACAAACCATTCCAGATGATGATCCTGTCGTATTTTATCTTGATAATCAAAGATTTCCTTGGAATCATGTGTGTGTGGCAGCGGCACCTTCACTACTGCTGGGGCCAGACCACCCGAGTTCAAATAATTTAGGAGGTAGCTTCTTTTGTGTAATGTAACTATATGTGGAGTTTCTCGTTCAACATGGCTTCTATAAATGGCTGCCTGGTCATGGCAAGTACATTTATTCTTAATATTTTGTGTAGGTTTGTTTATCTTGAATTTAGTAAGCATAATAAAGCTCATGCTTTCAAGGAAATGATTCACAATTGCATTTTTGAGCTATCATGTAAGGAGTACTTTCTAGCCAGCTACAGGAATGAGAACCAGCAGGAAACAGAATGCAAGGCTCGTCAGATGGGTACCAAGAAAAAGGCTGGCCCCAAAACCTGCAATGTGTTCCTTCTGTTTGAAACCTCGTGGACTCAAGCTTCATGTACAATCCAACACAGAGATCACACAAAAAATTCCAAGCATGGCAGGCGGAAACAATAGAGAAAATGAGAGGAAGACAATAAACATGCACAATGACATGGTGAGAGGGAAAAAGAAATACAATGACATTCACTTTATTTTAACCCATTCTCTCTTTGTTCTTTCTCTGTCATTCTCTTTTCTTTCTCACTCGTATGTCTAAAATAAACCGGGAGAGCATGGCAGAGGAAGACAATAAACATGTACAATGACGTGGTAAAAAAATAGACATGACAAATTTAGGTCGAATGTTACCATATGTCTTTTTGTTATTCCCGCGGCAACGCACGGGCATCTAACTATAACGTTTAGAGGGACAAACAAAAGATCACTGGGTGGCCTAACCAAATATGGCAGCCAACCCCTAAATGTAACACATGCTTCGCTAGATTGTGAGCTTCAAAATTTGAACTCCTAAACTCATGAATGAAATTACAAGAATTCAAAACAATAGAGTACTCTATGATTTCATATATGATGGCACCACATGCAGCTCCACCTACTAGCTTCATGTCGTCAATGACCATCTTGCAATCCGATGCAACATGTATATCTTGTAAATTGAGATCCTCCGCCAGTGCCATAGACTCCCTCACCACCAAAGCTTCCAAAGTTGTAGGTTCTAAAATACCTTTAAACATTGTGGCCGAAGCACCTAGAAAAATGCCGTCCCGGTCTCTGCTAACCGCCGCCGTAGGACCCAAGCCTCATCCAACAGCTGCATCAACATTCATCTACTACCACTATAAAAGAACGGAAATGTTAGCGCCCACACGTGTGGGCGTTCACCATCCCGACCACACGCAAGCATCTCCGTTGGCAACTGTGTGCACGAATCTTGGAACAAACCGGCCGATTTTCTGCGCCGCGTAGGACGAGGCGCGTGTGCGGTGTGCGAGTCAGTTCGCCCG